AGTGTCTTAGAAATCTGTCTACAACAATGTAAAGAACTCACTACTTCTTGTAAATCTGCAAAGCATAGCTTTAAATAGCCACTTTCTCTCTAGACTATTCATTTTATTTATTCATTTATTCATCGGACATGTGTGAAATACTTAGAACTGATCCAGGGCACATAATAAATGGTACATAAATGTTGACTATTATCAGTTTTATTTTTATGTTTTAACCAATTGTAAAGATGGTGTATGCTCAGTGCTAAGTATAGTAGAAGGAAATGCAAAGAAAAATAAGGCTGATCTTTGTTTATAGTCTGGAATTGAAGTAGGGGACGGCTACATAAGTAAGCAATGACTACTGAACAGGCTGCACAGTGTCACCACTGCATTTAAGGAGAAAAGTGTTCAGGGAGGGATGCCAGTTCTGCAGTGAGTAGCTCATGGTGCCCCTGCACATACTACTGCAGTTTTGTTTGTGCCCTGGTTTTTCCACTGATAAAGGCAAGATGAAAATAGTGGCTACTTTAAAAGGGCCAGTGTGTGGATTAAATGAAATAATCTATAAAGTACTTAATAAAACGTAGTATATATTACATGCTCAGTAAACTTTTTAAATGGTGATATGCTGGGTGTGCTGGTGCACACCTGTAATCCTAGAATTTGGAAGGCTGAGGCAGGAGGATCGCTTCAAGTTTGAGGCCAGCCTAGGGTACATAGTGAGTTCAAGGCCAGCCTGAACTAGGGGGAAACCCTGACTCAAAAGTCCTAAAAAAATTTTTTAAATGATGACAATACCATTGGGATAGTGTCAGATTGAATGAATAAGCTATCACTGGATTAGATGTAGACAGAAAACTGGATGATGGTTGAGTTTAGTAAGAGAATTATCAGTAGAGAAGATGAAAGATTGAAAAAAAGCACAATAAAGAAGGCAAAACCCAGTTAAAAGGCAGCAATACTGCCAAGCATAGAGAGTAAATGAGCAGAAGCCGAAGGAAGGATTGGAAGTTCACCTCAGTAGTGGAGAGTTTGCATAGCACATCAGAGGTCCTGGGTTCTAATCTCAGTACCACGCAGAGGAGAAAAGAAACTGAAGGAAAATAATGAGGGTATAGACGAAGAGATTAAAATGAGATATTTAAAATGTTAAAGCAATGGGGTTTGGGAGCTAAGAAATGGAGAGAGATTTGAAAGTATTTTTACTTAAATAAATTAGCAGGTAATGATACTAATTAATACAGGATTCAGAGAAGGATGCCTGGATTTGTGGAGGGAGCTGTGGAGCTTGGTTTGGATAATATGTGTGAGGTGTCTTAAAAACATTTAGCGAGATTTTAGAAAGATGTAGGGTACAGATAAAGTATTGGGAGTTCTGGGTATTTAGTATTTAAGACCTAGACCTAGAAATTTCTAAGAAATTATTAGGAAGTAAAATAAAAGTAAGTGCAATTTACAGATGGGATTATTTTGAAAAAGAAAAAGCCACCTATCATAATTTAAGTAGCACTGGAGAATGCATTATCTTGGGCCAGGGATGTAGCTTAGTGGCACCATTCCTGCCTGGCAAGTGCAAGGTCCTGAGTTTGATCCTCCATACCAAAAAAAAAAAAA